GTCTGAGAGTGCACGTCTGAGAGTGCAAGTCTGAGAGTGCACGTCTGAGAGTGCAAGTCTGAGAGTGCACGTCTGAGAGTGCAAGTCTGAGAGTGCACGTCTGAGAGTGCAAGTCTGAGAGTGCACGTCTGAGAGTGCAAGTCTGAGAGTGCACGTCTGAGAGTGCACGTCTGAGAGTGCACGTCTGAGAGTGCACGTCTGAGAGTGCACGTCTGAGAGTGCACGTCTGAGAGTGCACGTCTGAGAGTGCACGTCTGAGAGTGCACGTCTGAGAGTGCACGTCTGAGAGTGCACGTCTGAGAGTGCACGTCTGAGAATGCAAGTCTGAGAATGCAAGTCTGAGAGTGCAAGTCTGAGAGTGCAAGTCTGAGAGTGCAAGTCTGAGAGTGCAAGTCTGAGAGTGCAAGCGCCAACTGCAGCCAGACCCTTTTGGATTTTTAAATATAGACCTTAGGGTTCATGAGCTACAGACATTTTTATTTGATAAGTAGTTTTTCACAAAATGCTCAAAAATAGGGGTGCATGTTATAGATTATTTTTGAAGTATTGCATGGATGAAATAGTTTCACAAGAAGATGCTAGGGAACTGGAGAAAAAACAAAAAAGTAAATGTAGTAAAATGATATTCACTGAGTACATTTAACATAATCACTAAACCTATATATTTTGGGGCTTCTTGGCATCTTGAGTTGTCGGGATGGGACACACACTTCTAAAGCCAACAAAACAACTTGGTATATGCAAATATTGACCCCAGATGTCATTATAGCAAGTAGCCCTGGGGCAAAGTATACCTGATGTGTTCCTGACTACACCACTGGTTCTTGGCTTCAAATTATGGGCGTAGCTTGCAGGTGGCATTTCACTATTTGAGCAAATAGGCAAAGGTAGCTTTAGAGAAAGAGATATTTTTATTCATTGCACAAACTTTTATGGCTACTTTCAGACGTTTACACAGAATAATGGGTTTTAAATAGGTATATATTTGAATGACTAAAGTACAGAGTTGGGCAAGTTACTCTGAAAATGTAATCAAATTACTGATTACACGTTACTTTTCTGATTACTTTATTTCAAAAGTAATAAGTAATTAGTTACATTACTAGTTACATTACTTTTTTCTCCATTAAATTGATTAAATACTAGCATACACGCTTCCGATAAATATTTGTTATAAAAGCATCAACATTGACGGAACACTGTTATTTTTAACTATAGCAGCGGCTGCTGCGTGCATGGTTTGGCAGAATGCCAGAAAAAGCGCTGCATTTACAATCTCTAAAAGACATCTCAGTTCATCGCAATCTCACAAATCTCTGTTATAACACAATAAATATATGCATAATGCATCTTTCATAATGTCTACAATTAGTGTGTTATAATGAGAGGATTCGTGAGCACGCAAAGTTCAGCACTGCATTGCTCAATGCTGCAAACACGTGTTATAGCCTAAATAGAAACTCTGCATACGCTTGCACCTGTTAATCGTTTATATTTGATATTAGTTCATGTTGCTTTTGTGCAACAGATGAATAACAATTTATTTGTTTTAGATATTTTATGTTTAGATATTTCTATTTTGCGGGAGTCCCATGACTCATTTTATTCTCCCGCATCCCGCGCGCGCGCACACACACACACACACACACACACACACACGCACGAGTGTCCACCCGCCCGCCCCACTCGCCCATCTTGTCCCGCACCGCACTCTGTTGCGTCGGGTCTCGCGGGAGCAGGTCTCTAATCCACTGGCACTTTACCCGACAGTGCGTGTGCTACATTCTTACTATCTCTAGATTATAAAACACTGCATTCTGTCAGCAATGTAACGCGGCAGTAACGTATAGAGACCTCGGCTTGTAACTATACTCGAATTACTATTTTGAAAATTATAACGCGTTAAATTACTCCACAAAAAAAATCCAATTACAGTAACGCGTTACAGAATTGCTCAACGCTGCAAACACGTGTTATAGCCTAAATAGAAACTCTGCATACGCTTGCACCTGTTAATCGTTTATATTTGATATTAGTTCATGTTGCTTTTGTGCAACAGATGAATAACAATTTATTTGTTTTAGATATTTTATGTTTAGATATTTCTATTTTGCGGGAGTCCCATGACTCATTTTATTCTCCCGCATCCCGCGCGCGCGCACACACACACACACACACACACACACACACGCACGAGTGTACACCCGCCCGCCCCACTCGCCCATCTTGTCCCGCACCGCACTCTGTTGCGTCGGGTCTCGCGGGAGCAGGTCTCTAATCCACTGGCACTTTACCCGACAGTGCGTGTGCTACATTCTTACTATCTCTAGATTATAAAACACTGCATTCTGTCAGCAATGTAACGCGGCAGTAACGTATAGAGACCTCGGCTTGTAACTATACTCGAATTACTATTTTGAAAATTATAACGCGTTAAATTACTCCACAAAAAAAATCCAATTACAGTAACGCGTTACAGAGTAATGCGTTACTGCCCAACACTGCTAAAGTATAAATGTGCAACTACAGCCACCAGTGTGGCACGTTATTCATTCATTTAAAGATTTGTTCAGACGCCACTGCCGATAAATGATAATCAGTACCAGCAGATGAATTTATGAAGCCATTAAAACAATAAAGATTAATAGATGATTGAAATAGTTACATGAGAAATGACAGGATCGTTTAGGCTTCTGATGTGTGAATCTGTGCTTGATCTTGTTAAACTCTTCTGGATCTGATGTCATAAACCAGAAGAATGACAGTAGCCACGCCCACCAGAGCAGAGAGGACCAATCGGATCACAGCTTCAGTAGAACCACAACAGTGGACAGAGTCTGAGGAATAAAAATTCAAACTGAGATCAGCTCTGTCAATAAACATTAATATCAGCTCCAACATCAACTAATATCAGATAATAATAAATACGCTGCTGTACCTGAACATGTGTGACAGAGTTGAGTGATGTCCAGATGTTGAGTCTGGATGCTGATGGGATTGTTGAGCACACAGCTGTAGCTGTTTTTATCCTGATACTCCACCTCCAGCGGTAGAGAGAGACTGATGCTGAGATCAGACACACTGATGCTGGACAATAAACTGTTTCCTTTGTACCAGGAGAGAGTCACATGACCCACATTCACCACTGAACACACCAGTGAACAATTCTGCTGTGATGATGATGATGATGAAGAGCAGTTTGAAGAGTTATCTTCAACATATAAATATCTGAACACGCAATACATCAAATTAAAGAACAGAACCTATTCTTAAAAAATAAATAAATAAAAAATATTCTAGCTTCAAGCATTATTTCAGTTTTCATTTATATTCATTCATTCATTGTTGATGTTGTAGTGTAGACTCATTCAGGAGATGCATAATCCTATAACAGTAAAAACGTGGAAACCCGGAAAATTCTGTGTTTGGCGGGAAAGCGTTGTCTCATAAATAATGGAAAATTCTGTGTTTGGCGGGGAAAGAGTTGATATGACTTTCAAATGATAAGTTGCTATCAAGGACAACATCCAGACTTTTTACCTGAGAAAAAGTCTGAAAAACAACAACTGTTGACTGGTCAATAATCACAGACGAACGATCAAATTTAGCCAGATTAGACTTTGTACCTACAAGAAGAATTTCAGTTTTGTAACTCTTAAGTTTAAGGAAATTAGAAGAGAACCAATTTTTTATTTCAGTTAAACAGCTTGACAGAGCAAGCAAAGTAAAAAACATATTAGGCATGGAAGACAGGTAAAGCTGGGTGTCGTCAGCATATTAATAACTTCCTAAAGATTTGTCCAAGAGGCAGTAAATAAATAAAGAATAAAAGAGGCCCCAAGACTGAGCTTTGGGGAACACCAGCAGTAATATGTGATAGCTCAGATATGAAGTTTTTAAGTTGTACAAACTGAGTGTAACTAGAAAGATATGATCTAAACCAAGACAGACAGGTGCCGTAAATTCTAGGGAGACCAGCCTGTTTAAAAGGATGCTATGCTATTTTATGAAAGGCAGCACTCAGATCGAGCAAAATAAGTATAGTCAGCTGTCCAGAAACCACTGCCATAGGCAGATCATTAGTGATTTTAACAAGTGCAGTCTCCGTGCTATGAAATGGATGGAGGCCAGATTGAAATGTTTCAAACAAACTGTTATCTGAAAGGTAATGTGAAACCTGATCTGCAACAGTCTTTTCTAGTATTTTATGAATAAATGGTAAATTTGAAATATAGAAGTTTTTATAGCAGTTTTAAGTGATAACTGAGCAAAACCAAGAACAATCTCAGTGATTAAAGAAGACAGAGAGGATAACTAAGTGTGTTTGAAGAGGATCCAGTTGAGAGGTAGTGGATTTAGATTTCTGAATGATGCAGGTTATCTCATCAACAATAGGAAGACTAAAAGTAGAGAGAGTGGACAGAGTTTACGAGAGAAGGGAACTAAAAAACCACAACCAACATTATGAGCAGGTATTTGCTTATGAATATTTCAAATTTTTGTATTAAAGTAATCCATGAAAGTATAACATACAGTAGTGGAATACAAATAAGATGGTAGAGATTCAGGAGACTGCAAGATCTAATAAGAATGGAGGAGAGAAATCTAGTATTCCCTTCACTCAATCTAAATAAATGTAAAATTCTGATTTAGCCTTAGTGATAGCCTCCTTATAGCTTTGCATATACTGAGCATGGTTCTTTTTGTTTGACCTTTTAGCCTTAAACTGGTGCAATTCAGGCGGATACTAAGGAGTTAAGTTTTCAGAGGTGCATAAACATCTAAGATATCACGGAACCCATCATTATAAGCAGCAACCATGTCATCAACAGTGGATAAATCAACTTTGCTGGAGATAATGGCAAGATCATTAGCAAAAGCAGATAAATCAATAGACGTGGTATTGCAAAATGTGACTGAACAACTCACATTTACCTTAGACACTGTAAGATAAACATTAAAAGACACCAGTAAATGGTCAGAAATGGACGAATCAGAAACAGCATATAACAACAGATAAGATGTGAGAATGTGTCTGAGTGGGAGTGTTGGCATATTGCTGTAATTAATGTAATGCCCAAACCGACAAGATAAGAATTCTCTTGTAAAAATGTACTTTTTCAAATGTAAATATAAAACACTTTGACAGATGTAGGATGTTAATAGCAGTGGCATCATCACAGTCTGTGAATGTTTCTCCTCTCAACTGTTCATCCAGCAGGAGGCGCTCAACGCTTCAGAGGCTTTTTTGTTGTTGTTGTTTTGTCATATTGGAGACATTCGTACACTAAAATGTTGATTCTTTGTGTGTATTTTTCTAACCCTTCTTTTCATTGCAGGTAAAATATCATAATTATTGTAAACCCATTATAATTTTAGAAAACATTAATACAGGCCTATACACGCCTCAGTTTCTCCAGAAGAAAAAAACGATGTAAATTATTTTGCTCCGAATCTGTAATCAATATGTTGCCTAATCACCAAACTGCTCTTCATCATCATCATCTTCATCACAGCAGAATTGTTCATTGTTGTGTTCAGTGGTGAATGTGGGTCATGTGACTCTCTCCTGGTACAAAGGAAACAGTTTATTGTCCAGCATCAGTGTGTCTGATCTCAGCATCAGTCTCTCTCTACCTCTGGAGGTGGAATATCAGGATAAAAACAGCTACAGCTGTGTGCTCAACAATCCCATCAGCAACCAGACTCAACATCTGGACATCACTCAACTCTGTCACACATGTTCAGGTACAGCAGCTGATATTAGTTGATGTCGGTGCTGATATTAACGTTTATTGACTGAGCTGATCTCAGTTTGATGTTTTTATTCCTCAGACTCTGTCCACTGTTGTGGTTCTACTGAAGCTGTGATCCGATTGGTCCTCTCTGCTCTGGTGGGCGTGGCTACTGTCATTCTTCTGGTTTATGACATCAGATCCAGAAGAGTTTAACAAGATCAAGCACAGATTCACACACCAGAAGCCTAAACGATCATGTCATTTCTCATGTAACTATTTCAATCATCTATTAATCTTTATTGTTTTAAGAGCTTGTAAGTAAGAAGCAGGATTTTGAAATCAATTCAATATTTAACCAGGAGCCAATGCAAGTGGTAAAGAAGATGAGAAATGTGCTCCATGGAAGACGTTTTCCAGAAATAATTTGTGCAGCTGAATTTTGGACCAGCTGCCGTTTATGTAAGGTATTAAAAGGAAGACCATATGGAAGAGACTTGCAACAGAGTTGCAGTGTGTAACTATTGTTGTCCTCAATGTTGTCCCACACAACCATCACCAATTTCAAATGGACGACGCACACAACAACTCTGGTTATCGGTTCTTTTATTCACCGCAGCAACAATGATTGTGCCTGAGAAATACATCAAAATGTATTGATACATCGGGTGATAACACTACAGACATAGACATAACCGCAGCAGCGTCAGCCATTTTCTGCTGAACTACCAATAACTCATAACAATTTCATGATAACAGAATAACTGAAATATAGAAATCACATACCTGAAGATACATCAAAATGTATTACTACACTGGGTGATAACAATGCAGACATAGACATAACTGAAATTAAAAAAGAAATTAACAACTCGTTCTCATTAAGGGTAAACTCACTGTGTGTTATCCATTCAGCCATTCGATGGTACACTAGCAATAGCACATGTCAGTCCCACTATATGAGACATGAGGCACGACGATAATTACTCAACAAAGTATCATCTGAGGTATAAACCCCTTCAAAGCATTATACATCTGTTGCTATAATCACACATAATCCTTTTACAGCCGAAAAACTAATAACTCGGCTCCTTCATATCTCTCTGATCTTCTTCAAATCTACACTCCTGTACATACTTAGATTCTCTTCTTCAATCTCTTTAGTCCAACTACACATTCGTTTGAGAAGTACACTCTTAAAAATAAAGGTGCTTCACGATGCTATAGAAGAACGTCTCGGGTTACTTATGTAACCATGGTTCCCTGAGGGGAACGAGACACTGCGTCCTCTAGGGGTCGCTATGGGGGGAACGCCTCGTCGTGACCCGTGTCTGAAGCCTACATTGAAAAAACACCAACTTGTTTGGCCAGGCGACAGCCATGACGTCACTACCGTCGCAACTAGTACAAAAAAAATGCTCTTACTTTGCTTTTGGAATGCACGCTTCAAACAGAACGGTCAGTGAAGACGAAGAAAGTGATGATGTGCGCTACCGGCGCCTATTTTGTACTAGTTGCGACGGTAGTGACGTCATGGCTGTCGCCTGGCCAAACAAGTTGGTGTTTTTTCAATGTAGGCTTCAGACACGGGTCACGACGAGGCGTTCCCCCCATAGCGACCCCTAGAGGACGCAGTTCGAAGTTCCACGAAAGGGAACCTTTTTGTCTAAATGGTTCCATAAAGAACCTTTAACATCTGAAGAACCTTTCTGTTTCACAAAAGCTTCTTTGTGACGAAAGAAGGTTCTTCAGATTACAAAAAGGTAAGAAAGAGATGGTTCTTTAAAGAACCTTTGACCGAATGGTTCTTTGTGGAACCAAAAATGGTTCTTCTATGGCATCGCTTGAAGAACCTTTTGAAGCACCTTTATTTTTAAGAGTGTATGGGGTCCAAGGTTTTTAGTTATGCTGCCCCTCATTTGTGGAATGCCCTTCCCCAGGACATCCGTAACAACAGTTTTCACACTTTTAAATCACATCTTAAAACTTATTCATTTAAACAGGCTTATTGTACATGTGTTGATTAGTTTATTTTTAGTTTTTTAATGTATTTTGTAGTTTGCTGTTGTTTGATGTTTTATGACGATTTGTAAAGAGTGTCATGAAAGGTGCCTATACATAACAAAATGAATGAATGAATGTTGTTTGTCAAAATAATGTAATCGTAATTTAATAATACTGTAAATATTTACATATAATGTTAAAATGAATGTTTCAATAACGTAAAACTTTACATGCACTGCTGAACTTTTGTGTTCCACCAGGAGACGCTCAACATTTTAAATGTAATAAAACATGAAGAGACTTGACTTGAGTGAAAAAAACTTTATTGAAAAAGGCAAGCAACTACAGTTGACAAATGGACAGAAAAGTGAGATCTTTTATCTGACAGAAATATAAACAAAGCCCTCAAACTGAATCTGTACTGTAATAACACTGCAAGACAGGCACATTTTAAAGAGGCATTAAAACCCCAAACCAAACATGAAAGATTATACAGTATATATATATATATACACACACACACACACACACACACACACATTGTGATCCGCATCAATACCAGCAGCAGATGAAAATAAGGCCTGTAAAAATAAAAGAAGATTATTAAATGATAAATATAAAATAGTTCTATCGGAGAAATGACGACATCATTTAAGTTTCTGGTGTGTGAATGTGTGCTTGATCTTGTTCAGCTCTTCTGGATCTGATGTCACAAACCAGAAGAATGACAGTAGCCACGCCCACCAGAGCAGAGAGGACCAATCGGATCACAGCTTCAGTAGAACCACAACAGTGGACAGAGTCTGAGGAATAAAAACATCAAACTGAGATCAGCTCAGTCAATAAACGCTATTATCAGCGCCGACATCAACTAATATCAGCTGCTGTACCTGAACATGTGTGACAGAGTTGACTGATGTCCAGATGTTGAGTCTGGCTGCTGATGGGATTGGGATGAGATCCTGATGAAGATGAGGATGATGATGGTGATGGTGATGATGATGGACAGTTACTGCTGATGACAGGATCAGGCAGATGAACTGAAAACATGAAAGAATAAATACAGAAGAAAATGGATGAAGATATTCAAGCAGACAAGGAAGAAACACTGAGGGGAACCAAAACTGACCAAATTAGAGCAGTTTAAAACAATCTTATATGTAGAGTAAAAATTATTTATATTTAATCTATATTTAAATTTTTTTTTAAATGATATAATAACATTTAAATGATAAGGTATTCATTTAGATTTACTTTAAAGCTGGAATAAATATAAAAGGTAAAACTGAAAATGATCTCACCATAGACAGTGAAAAGGTAATTCTTTCTCTCATTTTTGGTCCTTATTTCAAAACCTCCAGCATGTTCAGTTGTGATGTTTGTGATGGTCAGAGATCCAGTTTGATTGTTCAGCTTCAGTCTGTGTCTGAATCTCCCATCAAGAACATCTTCATATACAGTCATGCTGTTGGTCTGTTTATTGATTTCAGCTAGTGAAGTGTTTTCAGGTACAAACTTCCACTGAATCACATTACTAACCATCATTTCAGTACGATTAGGGACTAAAGTGAATTTATATCCCTCCACCACTATTATATCGTCTACATCCCCAATCATGCATGAAGAACAACCTGAAACAGGTCACAAATTAAAACGTTTAAATAACTTTAAAAATGGTTTACTAAAGTAAACAGCTTGAAATTTACATTAGAAGAGAAACATATCAAATCACATGGACACAGATGCAAAATGGTGGATTAAGAATTTAATCTTTGTGGTGAATAAATATGAAACAGGAGAAATGTACAGTTAACTCACGTTGTACAGTGAGAATGAAACTCTTTCTCAAACAGTAGGTCTGTAGTTCATAGACTCCAGTGTGTTCAGGTCTGGTGTTTGAGATGGTCAGAGATCCAGTTTGATTGTCCAGCTTCAGTCTGTCTCTGAATCTCCCGTTAAGGACATAATTTACAGTGATTCTTCCATCTTTTACACAAATTTTAGCTATGCTTTTATATCCGAACATCCACTGAATCACATTATCATCCATCCTTTTATGAAGATCATTGTGTAGAGTGACTGGATCTCCCTCCATCACTGACAGTGACTCACCGAACACACCCGAAGAACAAACACAAAGAGATTAAGATTGAAATAACCTGATGGTTTTCAAAAAATAATATCTCTAGTGACAGAAGCTGAATGGTGTGTGGATTATGTTTGTGTGATTTTGAATAAAACTCTGATTTGCTGATGCAGGAACTGAAGTTGATTTGAGCTCCACATAATACACAGAAAACTCTTTTACTTCAGATGAGAATCACGGCTGAAACTAAAACTGCTGCTGTTTGAGCTTCAGTGTTTTTATATAAAGAACATTTAGAAAAACAAACAAACAGTGAATCTAAAGAAAGAACTGAAATCATAAAAACCTATTTCAAACTCACCAACCAGACGCCACAAACACAAACAGAACCAAAATCTGCCAAACACCTTCAACGGTTTTAGTCTACAGATATGAAAAGACAAACTCTTCAGAACTGGTTCAGTAATAAAACGACAGATGCACTGACGTGTGGCTGCTTATGGTAAAGTCATGAGAAAATCTACTATCAGTCAATCATCTTTAACAGTTTTGATGTGTTTTACTGATCATTTTACATCATCTGAACTTCAACATAATCAGCTTCAGTCAGCCGCAGCGTCCTGATATGTCCTGATATGTTTCTCACATACTAGAGATGTTAAAAATATCTTAAAGGAGACATTTCATGTGGTCATGATCAGTGTTGGGGTAAGTTACTTTTAAAAGTAATGCATTAGAATATTGCGTTACTCCATAAAAAAGTAACTAATTACGTTACTTAGTTACTTTTTATGGAAAGTAATGCTTTACGTTACTTTTGCGTTACTTTTCAAATCTGGACAGGGCTTGCTTGTTTGTTTTTGAAATAAAAAAGTAATATTTTTGGCAAATATAAAAGCCTTTTCACACCAAAAGTGAAATGAATAAGCCTCAGGCTGAAGGGAAAGTACATTTACGTTCGTACAGTAGAAGACATTTCAACACACTTCAGCAATAAAAAAAGACACACAAATGTTAGTCTAGAGTAATTTGTGTTTATTAGTATGGTTGAACTGGATCATCGAAAGTCAGAAGCAAAAACATTGGTTTATAAAATGGGATTAAATGCATAAAGGATATTTGTGTTGTTTAACATTTCATTATTGCAGGTTTGCGTCATATTCAGAATTGCATTATTTTTATTCATTTTGAGGAATACTGAATCTGTGTTTTTTTTGTGAGTGAGATGAATTAATGCATATTCATATTTATTTTAGAACTACGGTAACATCTTCTGATTTCTCTCAACATGGGGATAGGAGTCTTGCGTTACTTATTTGAAAAAGTAACTCAGATATTTTCTTGTAAATTAAAAAGTAATGCATGACTTTACTAGTTACTTGAAAAAAGTAATCTGATTACGCAACTTGCGTTACTTGTAATGCGTTAACCCGAACACTGGTCATTATATACTGAGAGTGTTTCTCTCTGAAATCTCCTGCAACTGTCTTCAGCTCGTTTGTTGTTAGTCTTACATTTTTTTATTAATTCCGGCCGTGTATGAAAACAGCAGAAAAGGGAATGTTGCATGAGTGTTGAATCAGATATACTGGTGTGTTATTTAGTGTTGTGAGCTTCAATCCTGTTCAGCATCTGACTCTTATTTGACTATTAAAGGAATAGCTTTATTTCAATGTAAAGATATTTTGTGTAGAGTGAAGATTATGAGGATCTTCATTGAAAAACCTATTACTAGAAAAACCCCAACCAATAACATCCAGATGAAGCTGTTTCTCTCTACTGATCTAGCTATATCTACAGATTTCTGTACAGATAAAACAAAGTGGCAAACCATAACACGTTTCAATTTCACTCTCAAACTAACCTTAAAACTGAAGATTAAAATGAACATTTATTTTATGTATTATAAATGTCATACTTTGTTAATAAAGATATAAAAAAAATTATAATACAAATAATTCTATGATAGTATTTGTGCGTAGAATACATGAATACACTACACAACACAAACACACATCTGCCGATGATACTATAGAGTTGCAAAGAAAATACAGTTTTACTCAGCGGTGTAGAAGTACGGATACTAGGAACAAGTTCCAGCGACTATTAAATTGTCCCTAACAATAATCAAACAAGTAAATACATATGTAACCACTGTTGTTGTAATTTTGGCCGCATCTGAAATGGGTCATATTACCTGAGAAGTTAAAGGGGTCATGAACATCCAATCAGAGTTCTCAACTCTCGCCGACAGCTCAGATGACAAACTGCCACCGACGTGAGCCCAACGAGAGTCGACGTGTGGAACACACCAAACAAACTAGCCCGACAGTTGCTCCCAGACGGCGTGTTTTGGCCTATAGAGTGGTACACTCCACAAACTGTCGTTTTGACAGATTGGCTTCAATATTAGCTGTTTTTAGTCTAACAAGAAAGATTTGAGTTTTGAAACGTACAGGATTTTTAATAGTACAATGATATGTCAAAAGATAAAGAGAATTTTGATTTTTCAGTTTATGGCATCTTAAAAGTAAATATGCTAGAAAATGGCACACTTTCAAAATGCTGCTGCTAAGCTTTTAACTAAGTCATGAAAGAGATCTCACATAGCACCAGTTTTAATTACTTTACATTGGCTCCCATTTAAATTTGGAATTCAATTTAAAATTCTCATCTTGGTGTTTAGAGCATTGCATGGCCAAGCACCTGTTTATATAAACTAGTTATTTCAACCTTAAAATTCCAGCAGGAATCTGAGATCCTCCAAACAGATCCTACTAGTTGTTCCTCACTCCAGATTAGACAAAAGGTGACTGTGCCTTTGAGGTAGTTGCTTTCAAGTTGTGGAATGCTCTTTCCTTGAATCTCAGATCTGTGGACACTTTTAAAAAACAGTTAAAAATGTACTTGTTTAAACATGCCTTTCTTTTAAATTGATCGCAATGTTTTTTATGTTCTTAATAGTTCTATTAATTCTTGTATGTTTTTGCACTGTTCTCCATCTTGAACGTAAAGCACTTTGATACTTACTCTAGAAAGGTGCTATAGAAATAAATGACTTACTTAAAGTATGACTGAGATGCTTGATAACTAACTTTTAAGCGCAGCTTTGAGCAAAGTTTTTTTTACTCTTAAGTCCATTCTTAGAAGTATTGTTGTGAGTAATTCTCAGAGGATTAATAAATACAGGCCCAGTTTTTTTTTTCAACTACACATTCCATTAGTTTTGCGAATTTGTATGTTTCATTGGGTCACGAAGAAATAACGTGTTGAGTATCATTAGCATAACATTGAAAGCTAACATGTTCTCTGGTGATATCTGCCATGGGTAACATATATAGCGTGAAAAGCAAAGGCCCTAGTACTGAGCCTTGTGGTACTCCACATTGTACTTGTGAATGACATGATACCTCGTCATTCACTGCTACAAACTTTGTAGTCTACTCAAATGAATGTTGTGGTCGATAGTGTCAAACGCAATGCTAAGTTCCAGTAGAACTAATAGAGAAATACAACCACGATCGGATGATAAGAGCAGATCTTTTGTAACTCTGATGAAAGCAGTCTTAATACTATGATCTGAATGGAAATCCTCACAGACACAATAGAACATAGCTGAGAGGATACTGCCTTTTCTAGTATTTTTGACAGAAAAGGGAGATTTGAGATCGGCCTGTAAATAACTAATTCTCTAGGATCAAGTTTTTAATGAGAGGCTTACAGCCAATTTGAAGATTTTGGGGACATGTCCTAATGATATTGACCAATTAATAATATTCAGAAGGGGATCTATGACTTCTGGAAGTACCTTTTTTAGTAGCGTAGATAGAATAGGGTCTAACATACAGTTAGGTACATATATATATATTTAGACACAGGCACAATTTTTTTTCTTAGCTGCTGACCAAAGTTACAGTTATATAATGAATATGGGCTTAAAGTGCACACTCTAAGCTTTAATTTGAAGGTGCCAAAATTGGAGGAAAAGATAAGGAATTACAGCTCTTTAATATGAACCTCCCTCAGTTCTAGAGTTGATTCTAAGTGTTCCATTTGCATTTGGAAGCTGTTGCTGTGAACCCACACCATGCGGTCAAACGGAACAGGACAGGCAGAGAGTTCATAGACGGCCTCCTTGGACAGACAGAAAGTGCGTTGCTGGGCGCCACCACCACGCAAGGAACTGAGGCCAGTGTCGCCATCTCGGGAGGTTCTGCAGCCTGCGCCGCCACCTCTGAAGAGACTACAGTGGACACCATGGCCTCTGGGAGCACAGCAGTGGACACCGCTACCTCGGGGGGTTCTGCAGCGTAAGCCGCCCCCTCTGGAGAAGTTGTAGCCGGTGGCGCTGCCTCTAGCAAATCGGCAGTGGAGTACGTGGCCCAGATGCACCATAAAGCGATCCCCATGGTGGGAAGCGCTACAGACAGAGGAAATAGTTCAAAAGCTGGAGGGCTTGAGAGTGCTGGTTTAGGGATGCCAGCTGCACGTGCCGACACCAGCGGTGGGTCCTCCACGCTGGAAGCCAGTCTGGGATACCGAAGAACTGACCTTGATACTCTGGGTGTAACAGACAGGA